AAGATGCATACGTGCATAAATACGTGGTTACTTGGATATGTCGAGAGATATTTTTATAGTTGAATATATATAAAGCTAAATGTATTGGAAGATAAACAGACAGATAAATGGATAACAATTCACGCGGATTCCTTCATCTGGGTGAACTGGAGTCGAGAGTAACGGGAGTAAAATTAATCGTAGTGTAGAGGAGTGCATTTCTATGAACGGTGATATGCAGTTTGATTTCATTTGTATCTTCTGAAAGAACTTCCTCGCGAATCCAAGTTTATCCAATATATCTTCTTTTGATTTCAGACGACACAGTCAAAAACGATAGTGGAAGTGAGTCTCCGGTGCTCAGTTTAATAACAGCCTTCGTCACTGCCTTATTCAGATGCCATCATCGACACGCTCAGGCATCTTTCATTCACTCACTAACTCACTCAGTGAGAGGCACTCCGATTCACTCACTGACAATATCTGACGTTGATGATTTCATCGATTGATTCATTTCATCTATATGCAGCAAAGTTGTTTGTGTTTCCTGTGAGTGAGTGATTGACTGGTCCAGTATATTGTCAATGTGCATGAAGTTGCACCCGAAATTCCGCCTACCGAATACACACGATCCACAACACACGCATACACACCCCTACACACTGCAAGTCTCCACATTCAACGAAATTCAGTTTCATCTAATCACATAGGCAATCGCCACTGAACCCTGTCTCCACAACACGATTTCGTCACATCCTTTTTAGTTCAAAAGCCTATTTTTCTCAATCTCTTTTAATTTCTTGTATTTCTATTTTTTGATTTTTTGGTTTTATTCCTTCTATTTTGCTTTAATCACTGTTTACTTTCTTCTCTTTTGAGATTTTTTATTTACTTTTTCTGTTGATTTATTCTCGTTTCCTCTCAATAACCTATCCTTCTTTTCTTTCTTTTAATGTTTTGTTAAGTCTTCGCTCCTTTTTATCATATTCTTAGTGAATATTTTTAGATTTTTTATCTTTTGCTTACTTGTCACTGAGAATTTTTTTATTATTTTTACTATTTTAAATGCAGCGCTCCCTGATTTTTTGTATTTTTTTGAAGAAATATTTTCTATTCCACAATGTTTCAAGTAATGGTACTACGCCTGTTGACGGGAGATGTGACGACAGTCTGTTTGGATATCTGTTGATTCTTTTCAATTTGAATGCTTTTTGTATCATGGCCTCATGGCCTTTATATCTAAAGCGCTGTATACTTCGTTAAGTAATGTATTCCTACGTTACCACGATTGTCAACTTAAAATATGTTTGAAAGCATTTTGCGAATCGAGGACACTTGTGATTGGTTAAGACAATAAGAATTAGAGAAAGTTAGCCGCGTTTTTTTGGGTGGAATTTCAATGAGTCCAGTGATTCATTCGAGCCAATACTTCTGATGATCAGCATTTGTGCTGGTCCTTGTGAATTTTCCTCTTCATTCTAACTTGTTGTTTTTCAGTCAGTGCAACTTTTAGTTGTTTGTGATTGGTGTGCGTTTTATTAAAAGAAACCACTTCAATCTCATTTCTCTTCCATTTTATTTCAAGGTGTTGCTGAAAAGCCTTTCTATGAATGTAAGCGTTTACTACAGTTTGTTACGGTGATGTCCTCTCCCATACAATAGGCTTTTTATTGGTAGACTATTATTAGCTGTTAGAGATGGTTTTGTTGATTATCTCTTCTCTGCTTTACGAAAGGTATGTTCCATCCTCACTGGTGTAGTGGATTGTCAACTTCATTTCTCCTTATCGGATTTTCAATCTGCTGCCGATTTTTCAGCAAGGTTTCTTCTGTCACGTATTTTTGTTTTCGATTACAGTGACCTGACACAACACTTTGTGATGGTTGCCTCACCTTTTACTTGCGAGTGTAATGTACCTTAGCTTACAAATAGCCGGTGGAGTTTCTGCATTTATGTGAACACTCGTTGTAGAGACATTCTTATGTATACAACTGACTTTCCATTGTTAGTATGAAGACTCGATTTCCGTCGGCCTAGAGGATACTTTGTTAACATTGTAGCCCACTGAAAATCATTTACTTCGGACATCATTTTTCCACTGTAGAAGAATCAATACCACCATGATTATTTTCAGAGGTGTAGGCATCTCCTGACAAAATTGAATGAGGTAGATCAGTTTCACTTCAAGGCAGTAAAATGCATAGTGAGATGAGTGTAACTTCTGATTAAGGAGATGTTTGCTTTTAGTTTGTGGACTTCAGAAATAGTTCAATCCTCCAATTATCTGATTTTCATGTATTGGTTTTTCTGGGGATTTGGTTTGATTTGTTAGACGATTTCATCATGAGCTAACATCAGCTAGAGAACCATTGGAAAACCTGGGTGTGTAGGACAGTTGTTCTATCCATTTTTGAGACTTTTCATCAGTACGGACCCACCGACAGAGTTCGAACCCAGCACCTTCCGGTTACAAGGCTGGTGAGCTCGTAGAAGATGAAGCCACTGGACCTCGTTCTAATGGCCCATGAATTATAACTTTTGCCATCTGTGTGACCACAACGTGTGCGTTGGTGGCACAGCAGATAGGACTCCCAACGACCATGCACATGGTTGTGGGTTCAACGCACACCTGATATCTATGGTCGGCCTGCAAAATGTGGGCTACCGATATCAAATGCTGTACCAAAATACTGAGGAATCAAGCTGTAATAAAAATATGTCTGCTTCGATGAGTTATTGCCTCATTTTCAACCTGCTGTAACCTACTGGTCACAGCTTTCCACTAGAACCACAGGTAACTGCCTGAATAGTGTAGTTAACTCACCAATTTTCTGATTTCTTATATCACGTCTTCAGCAAGAAGCAATCGTTCCTCATCCTAATTCATCATACCAAAGGATATAATTTTTGTGTGAATGTTTGACTTGGTAAATTATTTAGAGTTAATTATATAGCACGAGGGAAATCTTTTTCTATATTTTAGATGATAAGCAACTTTCATTAATGAAATACGCAGATTCATATCGTGATGTTCTGAGTTATAAATGTATGTGTTTTATTCACCAAAAATTATTTTATGGTTGTCTCTTCCCCTTTGACTCTTCTTTGATACTCCTCAGTGTTCACTTCCTCTTACTACTCCCACCGCTTGCCATGATTTGTAGATGGTTAATCAGTAAATCCAGTCACTGTAGATATTGAGTAGCTATTTAAATTTCTTTTGCAAATGCACGTTTCCGTAGAAATTCGAGGATATATATTTCTCACATCAGAAGATGCATGTAATGTCACCTGAATGTAACAACTTGGAAATAATTATTGTGAAGTAGAGCGGGAAAATGGTACCTTTACGCAAGAGGTAGTGTCTCATCTATTTCAGGAAGCTTGGTAATCCTTAGGAGAACAATTTGTATACAGACGGATGTTACAGACTGAGATGAGTTGAATAGCAGTATTGTAGGTGAGACTGAGTGGCCTAATCATTCAGTACTGGTTACCAGCAGATCATGCGAGAAATATATACATTTACCTGGAGATGTGTCGGTAATGCACGGAATACAGTTACTACATGAATAATTAGTTACACAAAGACAGTGAACCTGATTTCATGTTGCGTAAACGTCGACATTAATTCTGTCAGAACCTTTAGTCAACAATTAAATAATCCACATACTTCACACATATTTCCACCCTTTTGTATGTTTTAGTTCTCATGGCTGAAATTCAAACATACGAAAATCCTCAGAATGGAGAAGAAACAATAAGACGTGGTGAGTAATTTTATCAAGATCTCTACATGGCCGCATGTAAATATAAGCCATAAATATATGGTGAGGCCTTTTTTCAATCAGTAGGTTTTATTATTTCATGCAATTTGTAGCATTACTTATTCTTATGAATTGAAAATGAACACTTGTGGTCCTTTTGAGGATGAATAAGTATCTCGTTTGTTTGCAATCAAGTGACAAAGATGAAATTTACCTCCTGGTCTATGCATGATAGCATCTATGGTACTAGAACAACTTTGAATGATTCTAATGGTTGAAATAATGCCAGCACGAAACACTTTTCATCAAAAGAGACCTATTCACCTTCATACCTTTGCTGCTGCGTGAAATGTCATCCCTGTCTGGTGATGTGAAGCACATCACGGAAATCAATGAACTCACTTGTGGGTGCAGTGGAAGATTCTTTGTTTGAACTGAATAATGGTGGGAGCTATTTGGGCTGGAAAAGTAGTCTGGGGTTCAGTGTTGTCTTCTGCTCTCTTAGCCACTCTCAGCCTCTTTTTAAGATAACTATTATTGTTACCCTCCAGAGTTTCGACTTGAAAATAATACCTCAACTGCACATCTCCATACTATCTTTCTCTCTACAGTCCTTTGTCGCTGCCTCAACCACTGTCAACTTACCTCCCATTCTCACCCACATAATCTCCACAATGTCACTGTCATATCACCGATCACCTCCACATTTCCCGTTTACATTCCTCTAAACGGAGTGGCATGTGATATTGGTTAACGGTCCCCTCAACGCTTATACAATCCACATTCATTTCGATTTACATTTATTTGAGTGGTGGGTTCATGATTGGTTTGTCGTAAGACTTCATTGTTTCTATTGTTTTCTGGTTTTCTTTCCTTTAGTGCTAGAGCACTAAAGTCAAGTGTTGGCAAAAGTATGCAGCTGACTGTTCTAAATCCTTGTGTAAACATGATAAGCCTGCGAATCATGTAGAAGCATTATTTTAACGTCAGCTTTGAGGATCCAGATTTTGTTCCTTATAATGAGTGGAATAAACTCGCCTACTGATTTGAAAGCAGTGAAATTCTGTCCTGTTTTTACGACCTAAGCTGACTGAGTAGTCCTCCCTCTTGCCGCCCCGTGTAGTTGAAACGATGCTGTCCAGATAAGTAAGAGAAATGACTTCCCTTGCACTTCTACTAATGCTGTTAGTTGGTTGTGTGCATGACCTCTATTATATCTATGCTCACCTGAAGACGTGTCTCCACCGGTTTATTCTTCCGCCGACGTGTTTGTCTTCACCTCCATATCTTCGAGTTTATGTGATATTAGACATAAACCTTCGGCGAAGTTCAAACCTTCCTGAGTCTGTTTATTGCAGCAACGAATGACTATCCTGTTGTTGCTCAAGGACTTTTACACTATCCAGTCGACCACAACTGACAGTATCGTCAGCAATCAGCTTTACTTGGCTTTTCATTGGGCATCTCGACATTTGCTATCTTCAGTTAGGTGTTTGGAAAACTGCACTCCGCAGTTTTAAATGCGGTTATAGGTATTTTGAAAGCCGACGGAGTTCAGGTTGATATTTAATTTCAATCATGTGCTCTCTTCGATGATGAGGCGAAGCGTTGCAATTTGATCCACAAATGAATCACTTTCCTTGAATCAAGCTCGTTTCTCAGCAACATTCAGTCTCTCAAGGATGACACGAGAAAAGTTTTTTTCTTAGAATGATAAGAAGCATGATTCTCATCCAGTACGTGCGGAGGCTTAAGTCACCTTTCTTTGATAGTTTGATAAGGTTTCCAATCCTTCTGATCAGCATGCAACCTCCCGGCACCAGTGGCATCAGTCCGATAACGAGATTCCAAAGGAGTTCCATCTGGTTCTGCTGCCTTTCTGGTATCCGAAACGTCAGCCTTTGTTCGGGGATTATTGCCCACCACGAGATTTGTGCCAATTGTTGATGGTATTTCTGCACGATTTTGCGAGTGGTGGTCTATTTAAGAGTTTTCAACGTTGCTCTTGTTTTGTAAGCAATGTCCCTTCACTATGCCCATTGGTTTCATCTAAGCTCCTGACGTGTTAAACTGATGTAGTATTCTTAGATCTTCCTTCTATGTTACAAATTCTGATTCACGTGTCAATGTGTCGCGTCTGATCCTCTTCTTGATTTGATTTCCTTCATGAGGATTCGTCAAATTCCTGAGACTCAGATGAGGATTATCTGTAATTGGTGTGTTCAAGTAATGAAACCTATATCATTTTGTGTGTTTCGCTGTTACCTGAAGCCAACAACTGAGTGAGGATACAGTAGTATTTGAAGGGTCCATCGTCCTCATATTTTTTATCCACAACATCTCGACCTACGAAGAGTCGCCTTCCGTTCTTGTTTGCTTTCATTTTCGCATTCTGATGTTGCTATTTTGAGGTGGTGTACATTACTAATTTCAGTTGTCTGTTGATTTCTTCTCTCTCTCGTCTTGGTCCACGTTGTCTGTAAGAGCACATCACTGAAATTCGGTTCGTTTTAAGTGTGTGTTGATATCCTGTGAGTGGCTGAACCCTTATTTGAATCAAAAGTCAACACGAGTAAACGATGTGGATTATTGAAATAAAATAGGACATTGAAGTGTTGCCACCATCTGCAAATGTAAACAATTATACCCAGAAAATGTTAAAACATAACGCATAATGAAGTATGGTTACGAAAGCACAGTCGAATTAAACTCACATTCGAAAATAAACACAATTACATGTTTTATGTTGAACGCAAACGTTTAAATCAGTGAAAGGAAAATGAATAAACAAAGTAATAAAAGCATTTGTAGAACGACATTTGAGTTTATCAATCATAAGATGGATAGTCATCGGTGTACAAAACTTCAGGTTCACTGTACTAAACCTCATCTATTCCAGCGTCTACTTCTTCGGTAACTTGAACATTAACCGGCCTTTCCGTGCTTGGCATAATCCCCGTGCACTGATCTCGTGTTTTTTTTTACTTTACATAGAAATCCTGAGACTTGAACACTTATATCAAAGTAAATGGGCGAAGGAATTTCTCGAACGTAAGTACTGTCATGAACGCACTCGATTCCATGATGTTCGGGAATCGAACTGTGTGTTGATTAGAGGCTGGCATTTTCATTGAAGTTAAATATGCTGGATTATGAATTGAAAGGAATTGCAGTGTCATTGGAGATGACCAAAGAAATTCAACTAATCCACAAAGAAATCATCAAAACTACTATTTAATAGCGTGATCTCTAGGTGTCAGTAGCACTGAAAGTTCTCTCAGTAAGCATTCTGCAAAATTTAATTGAGAAACTTCAAGTTGGGGAATGAATTTCATGTACACATTTTGCAAAGTATTCCACTACACATCTTTCCAATGCGCATAGCATTCAATAACGAATTTCAACATAAAATGTGACTATAACAGACCATATGCGGAGTGAATGCCATTGATTCACCTTTTGATATTCTTTTCAATGCTGAGACAATAAAGTCAGACAGATAAGTTATGTAACGCCTCAAACAATTTGCCTTTGTGCATGTTTAATGTCTGAAAAACCTTAGTCCACACCACGTTTTCTTATTGTACCCTTCTTACCATGTTTCTGAGTACAAGTAAATAATTTCTCACAATTATCTACACTTTAACAGTAGTCGGTGCAAAAGATTTGAAGCTGGTGAATTTTTCTACTGGTAAGTTATTTTACTCTAAAATAATAATAAACACAGTATATATGGCACAATAATTTGGTACCTAAAGAGAATACTACCTCGTTACTGTTTGTTGAATGAACATGAGCTGAAAATACTTTGATGTGACAGATTTAACCAAAGATGTTCATATTGATTAATATTTGACAAGGCTATCAAGTGAAGCCGTTGTCTTTAGGCTAAACTGATGCAGTTTAGTCCACTTAATGAAACATTGTCAAATTGCTCTTCATTGCAACCACTACTGACGCCGCATTCAATAACGAAACATTTTCCTCCATCATCCACTTCCTCTACAATCTCTTCTTCAACATTAGCTTGTTCAATCCACACATGATACAATGAAACAGCAGCATCATTGATAACATTCCGAATATAATTTATGGTTCATTGATATCTCAAGTTAATTTATAAGACTTAGAAACTTTGATTATGTAATTCTATTTTATTTTCATCAAATGTCGAATGGTTGAATAAGTTCACAATTATTCAGTCCCGTTGTGAAATTATTACTATTATTCGTTCTCCACCTTCCTGGGTGAAACATCGAGATGCTCACTCGTAATGATTTTTCGAATGGTTCAGCCTAGAACAATACCATGAGTGTCAGGAGCAGGGCCTTATCTTAACCCAGACTGATTCAATGAACTTTCCGCTATGAGAAATTTTTCATATGGCATAATCATATGCTTATTGAATGACATGAGCGGGGGGGTGTGGCACTTAGCAGTGTTGGTGAAGCAAGCAAGTTACTTCATGGTTGATCCTGTCGAAAGTATTCGTGAATTCGATAAGGATGCGGTAACCAGTAGACTGTCAGTCTATCCTATGTTTGAAGATGATTCACAGATGTGAAATTAAATTCATCCACGATTTGTCCTAATGAGAGAGGTGTACCTCACTGTTCTATCTAGAAATGAAGGTTTAATACGGTTCGAAATGTCATGTGTTTATAAATGAACTTAATTCACACTTGCATACTATCACAGTGAACAAATATACAATGCAGATGCTCGGCTATTTGAGGAATTAAATATGTACCAAGCAATGCTTCTTTTCTCTATAGATGAATACAGGAAGGCGTTTGAAGAAGATATTGCTTTTCAGCTCAACGTTTTTGGTATGAGTGATTTTTCTGAACTAAAATTTGTAATTCCACTTAATCCTGAATTCATTGGTTCGTTGTGTCAGTGATCAGTTCTGTGAAAACTGTACACAACATTTTGGACTGGTATTTTGTGTCAAGTTACCTATCCAATTTACTATGATACTTGCTTTTAAACCATATCAATCGCAATTCTCTACTAAAATATTTTTGGGTAAAATTCCTTGAGGATAAATCTGGTAACTGTTAGTACATTTGTTAAAACAGCAGATCGTTCTCTTATTCGTTCCCTATGGTTATTTTTCACTAAGATCCACTGTTACCACAGATCACATTGCAGTGATGTTCAGAAGATCTCCAGGCTATCTGTCTACTGAGTGATGACATTGTCATTTCAAGTGATGCTAATTTTCATAGTTTGTATATATACAGTCATACTGCTTCCTACTCTTCCACAGAAAACTGACCACATTCACAAGGCGTTATGCATGTCTTAGGTGAATTCACTGATTGATATTCAATATTATGATGAAATTTGTTGGATGCCTACAACTGGGTTATACTAAGATATCTAGATAGAGTACCTCTGTCGTCATGTTGGGAGAACATTTCACAGCTCAAATAATTATATTTTACGAAGCTACAGTGTATTAAATATACCTAATGAATTTTCATTTATGCCTTCAGCTCATGAGGGATTACACAATGTGGTGAAAAAGAGTATTTCAAGCAAATGGGAAAATCGAAAATATCTGGATATTGTAGAAGGTAAAATTTTTACGACTCCATTATTTAGGAAGGCAGGAGGTTATTTGATTTTTTGTAAGAAAGTAAATATTCTTCTTCTGCAATTAGGCTTAGTTCGTAAAGCCACAGAAAACTTTTCATTCTTACACAAGATTCATCACAACAAAACGGAAGGGCGATGTTTTCGCTTAAACATCACACTCATGAGTGTGAAATCTGAATAAGCAAGAATGCAATTTTGATGCATCACTTACTGACTGCCTTAAACTAAATCACACATAAATTGGTGACAGTGCAGGAAAAACCGACATTCTCTCAGTGTTCTTCACATTTAATTGGTTCCACTCTCTGATTCATCTTCACAATCGTGTGCATATTAAGGCATCTTCAATTTCTGCGATTTTCTCATCGGCACTGATATTCACAATTGATAGGGGATGATGAGAATATTTGTGCACTGACGCGCTGTTCAAATAACTGGGAGTAATTCAGGGAATAGACAGCAGTAAGCAAACATCATACATTTACTCACTTAGTCATATTTTGTCATTAGAATCAGTCGAAAACCGACTGCTTGCGATCGATTTGTGAGTGATAGTACGCATACTAGATGGCCTGATAACATTTCTTAATAAAGCTTTATACCAAGTAAGCAAGTTAACTGTGATGGTGTCATAAGCTGAAACCGTTTTCAAATATATTGATTGATGTTGGGTTCATCATATACCTGGAGGATTAATGACCATGTGATTTATCAATTGCAGCTTTATATTTTGCGGAGACATCAATCAATTTGAAGAGAAACGAAGGTTGGTTTTCTTTTCCTTTGAAATTCATCCTTCGTAACTTGTAAACTGTGCTAAAACATCCCTCTTGCTTTTGTGAATAGTTGCTTCTCTGATGCCATTAATATGCAAATTCACACTTCCCCTGAAATATGGTGATATTTATTCGCAATAAACTATGTCTAAATATCTTTTCTGACAATCAGATTCAGAAGATAGTTGATTGCTTGACTCAATTCTCGAGTTGTTAAAACATGTAGAAAAGCTGTTTGCACACTTCCGAACAGTCTCGCTGCCCGAATTCACTTAGCATCAGCGTATTTAGTACTGATACATAACACACCTCCGTCACAATATCGAACTCTAGATAGTTGGATTTCTATCGGGACTCTATTCACTGAAAGATAGTCTTTTTGAGAAAAGTGTGGTGAAACCTCTGAAAATGATCACCTTTGTTCATAATTTATCACCAAAAAGTACAAAGTTTATTGAGTGCTTTCAATATTATTTAGTGTGAAACGTCCAGGCCTTACACACTACAGTGTACTCAGAAATAATGCACAGAAATATATTCACGCAGTGAAGTATCAGTGTAAGGGTAGAAGACAAGTCATTTGTAAAGCGATCCTTATTGGGAATTCAGGAATCCTCAAATTACCAAATTATGTACACCTTATCTTCAAACTACCATTTGCACAGAACTTCGGCGTTGTGCTATTTTTCTCCTTTATATTGCATTTCTTCGTATTTGTATCGCATCTGTCATTTTTTTTATTTGACGTCAAATCCAGCTCTTTGCTAGTCAATGTTTTTATGCCGAAGAGCGTCTCTTAAATTCTATTGATAAATCCTATCAGCCGCGCAGGCCACTTCAGTCCATAACATGCAGACCCTCCTAAAAATGTAGCATGTGCTTATAAATACAACTACTCGAAATGTCATGTGGTTGGCTAGACAGCTATGTTTTGCGGCAGTCAGCGCCTTTCGTGCTAATAGGATTATTTCACGTTACGGAATACAAAAAAACATTTCATACTTTTTGATATTGTGTAATTATAGTCCAAATTGGAATGATAGAGAAGGACTTGATGGAAGCGAAGAAAGAAATGGAAAAATTCAGAGGTAAAATGACTCTTTAAATATGTATTGCACACTCCCTTCACGAATGATAAGCTGTTAGCAGGAAAATGCACTCATCATTGTGTTTATAGTTAGTCGTCAAGTGCCCTGATTACTCATCAATAACAGACACAATAACTAGGTTGTATTAGATATCTTTTTCACTACCAGTACAATAACTTCTCAGAATTATATGAGAAGTCAATTTTACCACCAAAGAGTCGAGAATATTTTCGTGGGGAGTTGAGTGGGCGTTTGAAAATAAAAATATTCAGCGTGTTATGAGAAGAAAAATGTGTTGAGAACTTTTTAAATTATTATGAAACAATTTTCGGATCGTCTACATATATTGTATTCAGTATGGTGACATATATGAAATTCAAGTTTCTTGACCAACGTTTAAAATATAATTCAACACTTCTTGTTTACTAAGCTGAACTTCAAGTGCTGGAAACAGCAGCAGTCGCCGCAACTAATGTATACAGAAATAAAGCAAGTGAGTTAATATATTTATCAGTTTTATTAGTTTACCGTAAAGGACAATGAAACTATGAACCGCCCTATACGATTCATCGCTGGATGAACGTGGTGATGATTAAATATAATAAGTAGTCGTGTTTAAATGACTGTCAACACGCAGACGCCTAACAACATAATTTACCTCAACTTTTCAATAATTTCCACTCCGCTGTACAAATGACGTGAAACTAAGATTGATTCACAGTTTGCTTTGTATTGGAAAGTACACAGAAGAATAGATGGAGCGTCTATCATCTCAAAATATTTGTTTATCAGTTATTGGGAAGACGCCACTTACTGTAGACGTGGAATGGTTTACACTGTCGTAGAATAAAATTCGATAATAGATTAGTTCGTTGACTGTTACACAAAGTGTCATGGTGTTCGAAAGTAGGTGACTTCTCCGAGACAATTTATCTCTCATATCATACGATTGTATTATTATTATTACTTAGGTTATTTGGGAAGATGGAATAAGGCAATATCAACAAACGCTGAGCGAATAGTTTTTCCCTTCTTAATATATTTCCAAGTTAAAATTGTATCTATCAATAAGCTCCATGAGATACATCTTTGATTGATTGAAAATAATGAAATTTCCACAACAAGAAACTGAGGCGCTTCGCGTTTAACAGTGAATGAGATTATCAGAACTGCATTACGGTGAGTAACTCGATGCTACAAATGATGAAAATTTCGATCGTCAACCAGCCATCATCAAGTGAAGTATGAGCGGATATAAGCAAAATATTGCATGACATTTTGAAATGGCAGCGTGTCGTTCCTGAAGATTTCTCATTTAAAGATCATGTAAAGGTGAGGACGACACACCACTTAGTCGATTAGTTTAAGTAGGAATTTACTCACTAATCGAAAATACAAAGCGCGCAAATTACTTACATATATCTCATTCAACATTGAATGTATTTGTATGGAGTATTTCCCTTCAATATTGTCAAGTATGCGTGCGACTATGAATTAAATAACGAGTCATTATTCCTTTCAGGCTCATTGGATGATACTGAAATTACGGAAGCGTATTGGAAGGCTCGTACTGATTTAGTCGTCGCCACAAGTAATTTTACATAGTTATTTGATTTGACGACATTTGATATTTCATAGTTATAGTAATGAATGCACTTCTCAAGGAATTTCTTTTTCGTTAAAGAGACACAAGTAGTCTGTGTGGCTAATGACGTACACATTATCAAGTTGTCGTATTCGCTGATACCACATACGGCTATATCATTGACAAAATTAGCAACATTACTTATTACACTAATATTGGAATCTGCGAATTGTTGGACAGTCGGTGAGAACTGGGTCTGAAATATCTATGTAAAACAGCGTCAAAACTACCGCTCATATAGTGTTATTTTCATACTATCGAAACACGCAAACCTATTCCGATAAAGCTTCAGTAACCTAATCAGTGCATCATAGAATAAAGCCAGAAAAAGTGTATCATATATTTTGAGTAGTTCAGAATAACAGTTGCATTGAAACTATACGACATGATCGAACATATTGAGATTTGAGGTTTATTTCATGTCGCAGCATGACATTGAAAATGCTACTCATACATGACTGACAATCTATTCGCTGTTTTAGGAGAACTAGTTGAAAAAATAGAACCATTGGAAATGAAGAGGATTGCATATTTGAAATGTAAGTTGAAATATTGAAATGATTTACAACCGCCTAGTTCAAACCCCAGAAAACAGAATAAACTGGCTCCTGGTTGAAATGAAAGAAGATGCCAAGCAGTATTATTGAAGTAAGTTTTTGGCTAACTGAACAATCGCATATGAACTTGAAGATGGGTTTCCCTGTTATCTGAAATCAGCTAGATGAATGCTTGAGAAATAATTAACACTGAAATTCTGTCCGCTCTCATTTTTTGTTGACTCATCAGTTTACAAGCACGCCATGAATCACCTACTGACTGACTAGTTACATGATCACAGTCCGCGACTGTGCACAATATCGGGATTTACCAACTGTTAAGACATCGTAAATTCAAATGTGTTTTGCATAGCTGATTTCTGTGAGGTGAAATGCAGCTCGAAATCAACTGGATAATGTACACACCTATTCCGTGTTTCAATCTCCACTGGAAGTATTGCCTTTAGGAAAGTGTCATTGTCAGTTAAAAGAAACTTGTCAACACTAATTTCTGCCATACCAGATACGTGTCTATTTTCAACACAGTTGTATTTTGCTTCCGTTTCAGCTTTGTTTCAGCTGCAGAAAAGTGAATTCGATTCCAAGGAAATTCAAGCAATATTGGTGAAGGGAATACATTGTTTGCATATCTCATTTTTGTTTAATTAAATGTAACATTGTCCTTCTAAAGTCTTATTTCACTTGGTTTTTGTTGTCTTTCTAGTAGAAAGATATATATCAGAATGAAGTAGGTAATTGTAACAAATAGGCTAACCACTAGTGTACGACTCAAGGATTGTTGTTTTGACTGATGAAGTCTTTTGAGTAGCTTGGAGGAAGTGTCCATAAGGAGAAGTTTAATTATTTATCAAAGAATACAAAGCACGTTTACGCACGAAGAAATCCCTTCACCTCGGTATTTTCAAGTTATTTGATAGTCGCATTTACAAGAAATACAATGGCAAAGCTGAATTTTGAAGACGTAGCAACTTGGAGATTGATGGCACGTGGATTGGTTGTCTATGGGTTATTTCGTTAACCAGAATCGAATTATGCGTCATTCGAATGCTGAAATTCACCATCCATGTTATGAAGTTATAATACGGTCTGAGAATGACGGAATTCAAAGCTTCATTTACAATTCTATGTAAATAAGTCATCATTATGTTTTAAGAAATCTTATTTCCACAATAATAGAATTCCCTAATTATTGTAAAGTTTTCAAAGTAACATTGAATATCAAAAAGGTATTTCCATTTCTCAGATTATCAGGAAAGCTGTGTATACTTAAATATAGTCGAATTAAAACAAAGACAGTGAAATACAGACTCTGTTAACAATATACTTAATAATGTAAATATGTCATAGATTTGTCCATTATATCACAGCCGAATCGTTTAGATTTCACCTTCTGCAAAAGTGACATAGGCACATGAATGCGTCGAAAGTATTTTCATTCGTCGTCCCCGTTAGTCAAAATCTGCAAACACTTCAACACGATAATACTTGCAAAATCTGCTGTCACAGAGTAATCGTGCATTGGTAACCTTGACATACCGCTGGATATATGGCTAACAGTGAATATAAGTCAAAAGTCACTGAGTAAGGCAGTTTAGCAGTCAGCTAGTCAGTCCATACAATGAGAACTTATGAGCAGAAATGTGAATGACAACATAGGTTGAGTTATGATTGTCAGTGCTAAATTAAGGAAGCATTGATTTCTATCAGTCAAGACTGTATCACGACTGACTATCCCATGATAGGAGAACTTTGTGTGTGTTGAAATCGAACACTGATACAGTATTGATTAATTAATTACTTTGTGCTTGTAACACCAAATATATCCCTTCCTTGTATGATGGAATTCAACTGAACTGCACCACAGTGTATACATATGCTCTGCTCTCCTCGAATGTACTATGACTGTCTGATGATTACTGTGATTTGGGACTTCAGTGGATTTTGATACTTCACTGTCACCTTTTGTTGCCAAAGTGGTGGTTGTAGTCGATGAAATGAGAAGCTTAGCTAACTGGAGAATCGCCAAATTCACAGGTAACGAGTAGATGAAGCATGATGAATGAGTACGGATCTCAGTCTCAGTAAGGATGCAAGTTCGTCAGCTTTCTGATGGATGCATGAATGGTTGGATGAATATTAATTCAGGGTCGCCTCGACACCTCAAGACCCTGCGGTTGGAGTCCGGTGGCCTTAAGATGCGTTTTTCTGAAGAGTCTTGGACAAGAGCGGAATAGCAATCCAGTACTCCGTTGTTTAGAATGGTACTCTAAGTGATATCACTCCGTATTCAAAACTGAAATCTATCCAGCCACTTGCAAACTTACAATCTGAAAAAATAATTCCACTAATTTTTTTCAATATTTTAATGCATTTTCATGATAACAAATAGAGTGAAATGAGGCATCTAATATAAGGTATATTATTGCTCAATAGTAATTCGAGCATTGTGTTAGTGGCTAGGAGTGCTTATGAGTATAGTCCTAGCAGGAAGCATTATGTGACTACTGCTCGGTAATAGATCATCAGAATCTCGATAGAAAAACAGAAGTACACTCAGTATGCGTTTAGGTTTCAATTCATTGTGATGTTTTAAAATAAATGTATCATATTCATAAAAGAGTAGACATGCCTTGTACATTAGTTTACACTGTTATCACTGCATGGAACACAGGGTTTTTTGTCAAAATTCGGTAGCGGAGGAACCTGCAAATGGTAGATTTAACTATCATTTACCTAAATGACGTTGAATGGACATTTCCCTTCATCTTAAACAGGATTTACGATTAAACCTTGATGAAGCTATTAGCATTAAAAAGCGAAACGTCAGTGAAAACAATATTGTTTTGTTTTTCATTCATTGGGAAATACAAAAACCTTTATTATTATGAGGATTTACGTTTGCATAAATTCAAACATACCAGGCGTTACTGGTTAGATTTCATGAATCCGTTCGAAAACGTTAACTTAAGGGAATTTTCAATGATGATGCGCACCTGAAGCATGTTTTGAGGTCTGGACATTTGCTTTCCAGTCATTCTCGAGTTCCGAAATAGCATGACATAATCTGTCCATCTTTATAGAAACTGTCAAAGGATCTCCCATACATTTGATTATGGAGGACATAGACCATTGAGCGAAGAATACTTGAGACGTCTGATCCCACATTTGGACTAAGACATGGGTATGTTCGCGCTTTATTACCAGTTTTAGATAAGAGTATGAAGACATATTGATCAGACACATTAAATTGATGGTGAACACGACACAGTTCGCGTATGTTTTGGGAAATCTACCGCAGGAGTTAAGAAGTAAAAAAAGAAGCTTCGATGAATAACTATTTCTACGATAAAACTATCCAAAATTGTGAAGAAGATTATTAGGCAAAATGTGAATTCACTGACAGGTGTGATATTACAAGTAAGTGTATGCATTAGGCTAGAAGCATCAGAATGAGATGACGCAAATTACTCATATCACTATAATACAGATAATCAATCCCTGAAACTTTGTTCGCAATATTTACACAGTGGAAAAATAAGCGACATTTTAGCTGACAAATTCACCCATTTCGTTCAAAATACTCTGCTTTACCCATCAAATACTGACGAATGTATGTCTCTGAAGCATAATCTATTTGGCTGACACCTTGCAGCTCGTCAGACAGTTGAACATTTCCAGACAGGAATTCAAATATATGATAGAAGCTATGAGGAAAAATTTGTACAGAATTAAATGTGAGGACATGAGGGTAAGGCTGAAGTCACAAGTTGGTGTGACATTATTAGGGATTAAATGCATTAAAGTGGAATACTAGAAAGAATGTTTGAAAAAGTACAAAGAAGTAATCGAACTATTGAACATAAGCTATGCATTCAAAAGAATTTCGTACAGCCATTATCCCTCTCTTGGCCTAATAAGACATAACCAGCTGATGACTTCTACACCACTTCTTTCTTATATTTTCAATCCCACTCTCATCACCTATTATTCTTATCACATCTTCATTAAAAACGTGTTTCGTTTACTTCCTTTACACGCTGCCATTACTTTGTCAGTTCATTTGTTTTTCTTAGCCTTTATCGACTACTTCTACTTGAACATTTGTTTGTTTAATCATGCTGTTTTTCGTTATTTGTGTTATTGCAAATTGCCTCACTTTTTCGTCCTTATTACTGATAAAACCATTATTATTATCATTACTACTATTATGACCAAATGCAAAATTTATATTCACCATCGTATTATCCCCATAGACAAAACACTATGATTGGTTTTTATTTGAATTTTTATTTGTAAACTTATATATATTAGAGTTAAGCTGATGAGATCTAATTGAAACAATATTTTGTTAATGTTTATTATCATTACTACTATTATGACCAAATGCAAAATTTATATTCACCATCGTATTATCCCCATAGACAAAACACTATGATTGGTTTTTATTTGAATTTTTATTTGTAAAATTATGTATATTAGAGTCAAGCGTGATGAGATTTAATTGAAAACACAAATTCTTCGCTGAAACGTGTTGTTTTTTTCATTTCCCTGTGAGGATATTTATTATAAAGAAGAAATCACCAAAACTTTGCATGAGACCAACAATTTTAATATAACTAGTAAAATGTAGCAAACTTCAGCCCAATTTCAGAGGTAAAAATAGGGGCCACTGAGCCAGCTGGAATAGAAAAAACCCGAAGAATTATAAACTAGTCCAATCTATTATGTTGAAAAATGTAAAAGTGAGCTGGACTATAAGACTTCAAGTAACCCAAAAAAATTACCCAACAACAAGCTGACAGGCTAATATCGTCGATTTGTTAGACAGATTTTTAACGATAGTCAGATTCATAGATATAAAAATATCACTAGAAGTTGGCATATTCAACACTTGTTCAGTGAACATGAAACTGTTTACAGTCTCGTAGAGAAATGTCAGAGGAGATAAAGAATCGTATGAAGCCAACGTTTTAGATTAACAATTGGTTTGAATATGAGCAACACAGTGTTTTTGCTAACATTTAGAATAACTGTTGCTACAGCACAGTCTGATCTGAAGAAATATTGAACCAAAATAATATAAAAATGTGAAACCCTGTATACATAACATAGCCAGCGAGGCCAGTGTTCATACAATGGGAAGAGTAATTACGATATGAGAGAAACATATGCGTTCTAAAATATTTTGGAAAGCAGAAGTTCGTTAAGGGAAGAAAACAGTTGATTTTCACTGAGATGTTTCCTCCACGACAATAACCTTCAATGTGTACTGAAGCTTAAATGACAGAAAAAGGGTAAATGTCATTTAATCATAAGAGGAATAAAAACGACTCCTTATGATGGAAAGCACAAATTGAACACGGAGAACTATAAATTGAATGGGAAATTTTTTCCGGGATTTTATCAGAATTTGCACAATAAAATCAATTTTCAAAAGGCTATTGAATTTCAAAGTTATTGACTCATCCACGTTCAGCGTGGCAGTAGAAACCAGAGCCTCCCAAAGTACGCTTCGAAAGACGATACTTTCTACATTGTCATTCTTAACTTGGTTGAATATTCTACCAATATC